GCTTGAGAAGTTCATGCAAAGTAATGGCTTTTCCGAGATTGACGGCTATGGCGGTGGCCCCTACGACTATGAAGCTGAGAAAGTCGGAGCGATTAAGCCTTGCCCTCAGTCGCTCCCCTATCAGCCCTATTCTGCCCTCAACAGTGAACGCCTGAAGTTGGTTTGCACTGGAGCTTGGGAGCTGGCGGAATTTCTGCAGGACGAACTGTGGCTGCCTTTTCTTGAGCCGAAAGTCCTACCTCATGGCGGTCCCCCTGATTTTGCTGCTGGGCCTAGCCTTGGAGCAGAAAGCAGGGAGGAAAACTTGAAGGTGGGGAAGATCTGGTCTACCAAGGGCCTGCTTTCTCTGACCCCGACTCCTCCGCATCTTGGGGCCTTCACCAGGGTGTTCAACGCCTACAAGAATGAGACAGTTGACCGTCAAATCGGAGATCGCCCGGCGTCTGGCAAATTCAGTTGAACATTCGATTCAAGGCCCCTCAAAGCATCTGCCTGGAGGCTACCTCATGACCAACCTGGTAGTTCCTCGAGGCTGTAAAGTCACAGGAATTGTCACTGATCGGAAAGACTTCTACCATCAAGCATCCGCCACCTATGAAAGAGCCTGTCAGAATGCAGTACCTTCCGCTACGAGCTTGCCGAGTTTTCTGGGCACCCATGCCTATTTAGAGTATGTGGAGAGAAAACATTCCTCTCGCAGCCGTGAAGATGTGGGTGACCTCTTTGGGAAGAAGCAGAGGTCCGTGTTGGGTTGGTCGCAAAGGAGGAGGTCTATCCAGCCTTCAGATCTCTTCTGCAGGGGGACCACTTGGGAGGAATTTGCCCTCTCTGCCCATGCCTCACTACTACAAGCCTCTGGACTTCTACGATCAGAGAACCGAGTTGAAGGTGGGAAACCTTTCTGCTTTCCTCCCTTTCTGGGGGCCTGGTCATTGATGACTACTTTGCCTTGTCCATTGAGAAAGTTGGCACCCCTGCTCCTGATACCGAAGCCTTCAAAGCTCTGGATGTCGCAAGAGGAGCATATGAAAAGGAGGATGTCTTGGGCTCGGCGGAGAAGGATGTTCCAGGCTCCTCCCATCTGAAGGTCGTTGGTGCTGAGATCAACAGCTCAGCGCCTGCTCGGTCCAGAGGAGTTGTCACAGTGAGTGCGCCGTGTGAGAAGAGGATCACCCTTGCAGTTCTTTCGTTGAGGATAGCTTCCTTTCCGGTGCTCTCTTCCTCGCTAGCGGCCAGGCTGGCAGGAAACTGCACATCCATCTTCCTCTTCAGACGCTGCCTTACTTCGATCCTGGCGGGCATCTACAGTATTGGAACGCATGAGGGGAGATCAGGAAACTCTGAGGTTTTCAAGTTGCCCCGATCTATTGCCGATGAGCTGGTTCTGTCTGCCGTGCTCTCTTGGGTCGCGGCATCAGGCGTTATCACCCCGATCATCGAGAAGGTTCTTGCCACTGATGCATCCATGCACAAAGGGGCAGTCGTCTCCAGAAAGGTGTCTCAAGATGTCGCAAGTGTCTGTCCTTTGGCTTGGAGGAGATAAGAGGGGAGGCTACACCACCCTACGTGACCCGCCAGCCGCCATGCTGCGAGGCATTGGGGAGGAGCCATGTCAGTCTTTTGGGGTTCAGGGCATGTATGGTTGAGCCAGTCTGCACGACCTTTTCGCCTGCAGCCCACCCTGCCTACCGTGTTCCCCTGGGCTACGATCGATTGCATCCAAAGACCTTGCTGGGGAACATGATTGCCTTTCGCTGCCTCGCCATTGCATGGGCATCTGCCTACTATGGAGCTCAATCATTGTGTGAGCAGCCAAGATTGTCGAAGATGACATGGTTGTCTGCCTGGCAGTTTCTTCTCACCAAGAAAGGTTTCGAGGAAGCAGTTGTGGCATCTTGCCGTTTTGGCTCTCCTCATCGAAAGGAGTTCCGAATCTGGGATGGGGCCTGGACATGAAGAGTATGGACTGCCGGTGTCAAGGAGGCCACTCTCATATCCCTTATAGCGGGAAAGTACACTAAGCCATCAGCGGAGTACGCGCCGGAGCTTGCCAGACACCTGGCCTTGCACTTTCACCGGGCACTCATCCAGAAGAAAGAAGAGGAAATGAATTTGCCTAAGGTTTCTGGCTTGGAGTCCGTGGTGGCAAACGATGCACTCCTCTCCGGCGTCTGGCAGCTTGAAGCCTGTTGGAAATGGAAAAAGCCACACCACATCAAAGTCCTGGAATCGCAGGCCTACGTCACTATGCTTCGTGTAATGGCGAAGACAGGCCGAGGAGCTCGCTTTACAGCCCTTCTGGACTCAAGAGTTGCAAAAGGATCGCATGCAAAGGGCCGCTCCTCAGCGAAAGCCCTAAAGCCCACACTGAGCCAGTCTACCGCCCTGCAAGTTGCCTTTGGACTATACCCTGCTTTGGGTTTCGCTCCTACGAGGCTCAACGTCGCGGATGATCCTAGCAGAGATCAACAGATTAGGCCATCAGTTTCTCACTCCATCACTTCAGCAATCACGCTCAATCAATGCAGAGCTCTTCATGCCATGGGCTTTTCCCGCAGCACAGCCAACTGGGTGCGCCCCTCTACATCCTCGCCTGTTGCCTGGAAATTGCAAGCGCTTTCTACCCCTTTATGGACTTTGCGCAACATTCAACCCCTTTATGGACTTTGCGCAACATTCATGGAGTTTTGCTGCAGACGTCGGCCGTCGATGGATTTCGATCTGGATTTTCATCCTTGTCGTCTGGCGCCTCAGAGCATGGATTTCAGCTGGCCTTCGACGCTCTATCCGGCGCACTGTTGCTTGGATTTGGATTTGGCACTTCCTCATCTTGCCATCCTCTCCCTCCTGCCTCAGCGGAGCCTTGAGCCGCCTTGCTGATCCTTTCTCCTCTGGGCTCCGTTCGATCCCTTCCTTCCACTCGTGGATTGAATCCATCCTCCCGCAGCCGTTGCCCTAGGTTTTCCTGTAGCCTGTGCCGCCATGTCATTGTTGCTTACTGGAGCCGAGGAATCGGCGGAAGCTGCAAGACGGGCCGGAGTTGAGCTGAAAGCTGATAGAGTGCTCTTGCCTCAGACGCGTTCAAGGCGGGAAGTGCTCCTTGATAGTTTTGAGAAGTGGCTCATCGAGAAGATGCGGATCACCTTGGAGCAACTCCTGGAAGATGCTGGAACCAGCCCTGAGCTGGTGTCGGAGTGTTTGATTGAGTATGGAAAAGAGCTTTACTACGCTGGAAAACCTTATGGTAGGTACTCTGAAACGATCAATGCAGTAGCTTCAAGAAAAGTTTCATTGAAGAAAGCATTGACAGGGGCCTGGGACCTAGCCTTCGCATGGGTTGTTGACGAACCTCATGCCCACCACCCTGCAATGCCGCTGTCGATTGTTCTAGCGTTCGCAAGCCTTTCCTTACTCTGGGGATGGTCAGTCGAAGCTGCCCTGCTGCTCATGACCTGGACAGGCATCCTTAGGATTGGTGAGGTTTTAGCTGCGCAGCGTGGAGACCTCATACTTCCTCAAGATTCGGCGCCGGGCATTGAGTATGCTTTGTTGCAGATTCGTCTGCCCAAAACCCGCGGATCAGCAGCAAGACACCAGAGTGCTCGCATTGATCCCAAGGACGTAGATATAGGTCAGAAAAGCTGTGGCCTTTGTCAGGCCACACCCTCCGCCGACACTTCCAGATGCTGCAGAAGGCCATCGGCCTGCCAGTTTCGAAGGTTGGAAGCCAAGCTCCTTATGATCTCGCCTCCCTCCGCCCAGGAGAGGAGGGGCGACATTTTTACTGAATAGATTTGAGGACGCTGAACTAGTGCGGCGAAGAGGGAGGTGGATCTCCAGTCGTGTCATGGAGATCTATCTCCAAGAAGTGAGCGTGGCCACCTTTGCAGAAAGGCTCGCTCCGACAGCTTTTCGTAGGACCTTTGATCTTTCCTCTGCCTTCCCTCTCATTTTAGAGAAGGCTTTGTTTTCCGAGCTACGGCTATCCCGGAAGTGACTTGGCCCCGACTTTGGTAGACCGCATGAAAGTGGAGGAGTTGGGATTTGTGGTCAAGGCAGTTGATTGAAAGAAGCATCCACTGGCTAGAGAAACCACCAGCCTTGGAGTGAAAACGAGCGATATCCTGATGTGACAGGATTGAGTTTTGTGCGTTCCACTCTCAAGCTTTTTCCCCCCTGGAAATGCCCACCCAGTCACCAGTCGGGGCCCTATGTCGCTTGAAAGAAGCGTCCACTGGCTAGAGAAACCACCAGCCTTGGAGTGAAAACGAGCGATATCCTATATAGTTTCTTTCTATTTTCCCTTTAAATATGATTAATTCCTTTCATTTTCTTTTGCAAAGTAATGAGCAGAAGTGCTATGTTCTAAAAGGAAAATGAAAGGAATTGATCATTGTTCAAAGGGAAAATGTAAGGAATTATATCAACTTAGCACTTTCTAAGGAAATTGAAAGGACTTGTTCATCCTTTATTCATTGTTTCCTTTTCATCTTCTATTCCTGGAGTAGTATCACTGTCATTATTTTCTTTCTTCTTTATTCCATGTCCAGCTCTATTTGATGGTTTCTTTCTATTTTCCCTTTAAGCTTGATGAATTCCTTTCGTTTTCTTTTGCAAAGTAATGAGCAGAAGTGCTATGTTTTAAAAAGGAAAATGAAAGGAATTGATCATTGTTCAAAGGGAAAGTGCAAGGAATTATATCAATTTATCATTTCAAAGGAAACTGGCAGGAAATATTCATCCTGTATCCATTGTGTCCTTTTCATCTTCTACTCCTAGAGTATTGTAATTCTTTACCTGTCTCATGCGCGAACGCAGTGTTTCTGCAAAAATTCGCAAACCGTGGTAGGGCAAAACGTCCGCATAACCAAAATCATATAAATCGCTTGTATACTATATATAGTAATACCCGTTGTAGTACCACTATATTATAGTCATACCCGTTGTATATTAGTAGTCCTGAAACCAAAAACGTCTCCCTTCGCCACGCGGCCACGGAGGTCCCGCAGCCACGGAGGTGCAGCTCTTGGGAACGGCCGGAAACCAGTGACCTCAGGGAGAAGCAACGAACGCGTCGCCACCCGGTGTTTGAGACCCACATGGAACCTGGACCTGCGGACGGAAGAGAATGTTCCTCTAGGGACCTTCGCAGGTTCCATTTGTTCATCTTCCAGGGCGTTCGACTGCGGGCCGTGCGTTAACCAAAGCAATGCATTTCATTCGTCAGAATGCGTGCGAGGCGTCCCACCAGCGCCCGAGTGTTGTTTTCACACGTAGAGATTCCAATCCGGCCGTGATCGCGTTGCACCCAACAGATTCTACAAGTACTTTCACTTGTGACTATGAGAAGGAACCGTTTGAAACTCACTTTTGCTGTTGCACATCTATGGTATGTTTGACCTGCCGTTCGGGTGTTTTGGGTCGCAAAAAGAGCGCTCCGCTTCAAGCAGTTCAACCTCACTTCTGGCCTCCGTGCGGTGAGTTCCTATACGTCTATAGGTGCCATTTGGCTCACAACCAACCGATTTGTCTCAGTCCTTTGTTGGACAGACAGATCACCTTTGCTTGAACCTTCCAAGCTTGTCTTGGTTTCCCAGGTACCAGCAGATGGAACACATGGCGTTTTACAGTGGCTCCAAGGGCTTCAGCAAGGCCAAGGTGGGACAACTGCCTGCTGCTGGTTTAGCCGGCAAATCGACCAACCGAAACATTTCCGCAAGTGTCTAATCATCCTGGAGTAGATTCTGTTCAATTTACCAAAGGTTCAACCGTTCAACCCCGCGTAGATAGAATATACTGTAACTTGTCAAGGAAATGACTTGTGATATACCTTGTGTCTATCCTATTATCAGGTTTCAGTGGATGATGGTGGTTAGGTTGCAGGCCTTGTTCTAAAATAGTGATACAGGCAAGTTCGGACAGACCCAAGATATACTGATATACCATCCTGGACTTGGATCGTCCTGGCTGGACATCTCTAAGTACAGTGCAGTGTGATTAGTCCATTGATGTCCATCCAGGACACCCAAACAGGATGGTCCTGGTAGAATGATTTCAAAGGCCTTCCGTGTTGTGTTTTGGGATATGTCTTTATGGGGAAGCCATGTGGGAGCCATGTTTTCCGTGCAGAATGCAAGTCCCATGCCACTGCCAATGTTCACTGATGCGTACGCAAGATGCCTGGCAGCTGCACCTCCTCGTCAGAAGGGGCGAGACAAGAGTAGCAAGTATAGGTGTCCGCTAGAGCACGCTCTTTGAAACAGTCGCCCGGGATCTCTAGTGACTGCAAACACCTGTTTGAAGTGCAACAACTAGGCTAGGTCTTCCATAAAAGGTGCACGAGTCCAATGGTCACTGATTGGGGGTACAGCAAGAATTTGATAGCTTGCCTGGTTCCAACTTACTTAAACAATCTTAGTGTTGCTGTAGACATTCCCGCAATCCAAATCCTCAAACGTGATGATCACCTACACTGACTAGCTTGCCTCTCCCAGAAAAGTTCCCAAGCGTGGGCTGAAGACATGGCGCGTACAGCCAAGCGTGGCGCCCTATCGCTCGAACATCTAGCGGCTAGCCACTCGAAAAGCCGCTCGGTGACTTTGCAGCACCCAGAAAGATTGGCGCTTAGAAGCGCCCACTGTTGGCAGAAACACCAAAGATCCCGAATTCGGGAGACCCTCAGAGTGTCTGTCCACTGCACATCGGTGCAGGTCCAGAATTCACTCAAGCAAAGCAACCTGATCTTGCATATAGAAGTTTCCGCTTGCCTACGCTTCAGAAAGGGCGCGAAGCACCCGTGGGGCACATACACTTGGAGGATGTTGGCTTCTGGGCGCGCTCTGCTTCTCCATAACGATTTCGTTTCTTTCACACACCAACACTACGCGTGACGAGGATCCTAACGCAGGATCAATCCACATGAAGGTTCCCGACCAAAAGGGTTTCAAAACCACCAAGCGGCAACGCTGGATACGGCAGGAGGGTGATGTACTCGTCCAATTGCGACTCGCGCAAATCCTTCGATCTGAGGCTCGTAGGAGGGCAGCCTAGTCCAGCAATGCTGAACTGTTCTTCCTGCGGAGTGAAAACCTGTACCACGATCCGGCGATCCGAATTCACTCTTTCGAGGTGCCAATCTGAAAGATGAGCCGGTTATAAAATGATCTGCTGTTGCGGTGAACCTCCAGCCAACTGTTCCTGGGTCCAAAGCGTTCGCCGTCGTTGATGGCCCATCGGAAGCATCGGTTTCGGGCCCATCGGTTGCGACATCGACTGGGTTCGACCTGGTTCACAAATTGACAAACAGGCCATGACCAGGATCTCTGCAATTCTTTTTGTACGCTGGCAGGCGAAGCATAAGTGCCATGAGAAGCCAGATGAGCACCATGTTGATGTCTTCGTCTTATTCCTTGTTGAGCGCCAATGAAATCACATTGAGCCAGACATCTTGACTTTGCAGCGCTCCCAGATTGAGAATCTGCCAGTTCTAGCGAAGAACATCAACTGAGTTAGCAGTCCCAAAGCGCTTTTCTCTGCAGCGAACATGGTTGATATTGTCATTACAGGGTCCATAGTTGCTGCTCTTGCACCCTTTCTCCTTGTAGGTGCCAAGTGTAAGCGTCATATGTACATGTAGGCTGTACTACTTCGGAAGAGTTTACGCAAAATTGAAAAATGTCTTCTCTATGTCAGGGTCACGGCCCCTCCGGGGCCTCCACCTCCGTGGCACTCAGCAACCCTGCCTGCAAAATGAAGTCAAACAAGAAGCGAGTGTAAGTCACTGTGTGCGACATGTCCAGTGATCCATCGAAGAAATGTCCCTTCTTGGATGCTGATCATCCATAGCTGGGGGTTGGAAGGTCATAGTCCAAATGCTCTTCAAATTCTGAATCACCAGCGGCCTTCTTTGAGTGAAGCTTTAGGCAGTGTGGCCAAACACATCAAGAAATATGCGTTTCTAGTGGGCAAAAAGGACAAGCATGATTTTCCATAATCAACCCCTTGGACTACTGGAGAGAGGGGGTATCAATTGTTGACGCAACATGGAGTGTGACATATAGAAACAAACACAAGCAATAGACCTTCTGCGGTGGATATGCTGGGGCTAAACAACTCCAACAAATACATCGATCGCATGTAAATGAATGCTGATAAATTTTGGGTAGGTCTTCTGACTTATACCTATATACGAATGAGGATAAAACAGTTGCGCTTTGCAATTGCAAACGCTTTGGAAAGAACTGTCTATAACGCCATGATTTGTTTGCAGGTGGACGGTCCAGAAAATTTAACCCATACTCATATCATATGTCCTCTAATCTTCAACTTCTAATTACTGTACATTTCTTGCTATCTGTGAGGTGCTTAGTTGTGAATCTTCTGCTCAGTCTTTGCTCAAAATGCACCACAACCCCCAGGGAAATCCCGGTGGTTGACATCCTATGAACAGGTTCTTAAAACCCAATTCCTAAGAAGCCTTCGCCTCCCAAAAAAGAATTCCACCACCCGACACAATGCCCCAAAGAAACGCCGGCCCGGTCTGTGACTTGTGTGAAGGATCCACGCGTGGGCCTTTACCCTTAAAGAAGCCCTAGCGCAGCGAACGCTTGGGACTCCTGGAGCGAGCCTCTCCGTGGGTGATGAACCACTAGCTAAACAACGCCATGTGGCCTAAGGCAAGGAAAACAACAGTGATTGAACATGACAGAAATATCGCCGCCAACTTTAATTTGCAGTTCATCCGGCTAGTAAGTGTTGCGCATCCAGCACATAGATTTCTTCACAGGATGCTGTGGGCCGTGAGCCTGCTATGTGTCCCAAACTTTCCTGAAGTCAACGAACTCCTTGTGTGCCACACTACGTGATATATATATATATATATATATAAGCATCGTCTACAAACCCATCTACTCTCAAGCCATCAACTCACAGTGACCAGCCATTCCCTTGTCAAGTGCGAATGGAAGTGCAGCGACATGTACAGTGCAACATGTACATAT